TGAATCAAATCACTCTATCATTAATACTAAATATTAAAGAATCATACTCCCTCCGTTCCAAAAAAAATAGTCCATTTTCAAAATGTACAATTTTTTAAATTTAAACTTCCAACTTTATCCCTAATTAAAAATTAATGTAACATCACAAAGCCAACACTATTTTTCTTTCTTTTTTTTAAGAAAAAATAAAAAGCAAACCGTACTGTTTTTCAGAAGAGCCTCTCATGTCCGCTACCGCAAAGCAAGGCTGAATCTATGCCTTTAATGTCTCCGGGAAACTTTCGGCTGAAAAAGATGGGACACCGTGAATTCGAATTGCCACGGTGGCGAAAGAAATCCGTCAGCCGTAATTCGGATCGAGCTACATCTCTAACAGCCACACCAACACCACTGACGGCGGCCGCCGCCACTGCTTTTCTTTCTTTTTTTTAGCTGCTGTCGTCCGCCACTGATGCCCGCCACTGCTTTGTTATCATCGATAAACGTTCATCTCTTCTTTTTCGATTGGTTTTTATCTCAGATTTTTCTTCGTCAGTGACTTCATCTTCCAATACTATTGCCGGAAAATTTTGGCTTTAAGATTCATCACCATCGATGGCCGACAACATCACTGATGAAATTTTTTCTTTCCTTTTTTGGGAAGAAGATTGCCGATAGAACTGAAAATTGGGTGGATTAAATTTGCTCATCAAAAAGGACAGTTAATCATTTTATCTTTTTTGATTTTGACTTTATTGAAACTGAATTTTTTTTGGGACAAGATTTTTTTTATTAAAGTGGACTATTTTTGTGGGACAGAGGGAGTATCTCTCTATTTGTGAACAGAATATAACGCATCCCTTTTACATTATTAAAGCAGAATACAGGATGTTGATGTGGCAACTTCTTATTAAAAAATTTTGGCTCCAAATGCACCATATTTCTTTAACCATTCCACCACGTGTCATCCCCTTTTAAAAGAAAAAAAAACTTCTTATCCGGAAAAACAAAAACTAATTTACAAAAATAGCTACACAATTTTAACTCCTAACACTTATCATTTATCAATCAAATTAAGATAGGACTTAAATTTGTCCATAAACTTATCCCTTTTATTACTCCACATTCTTTTGTATGATTTCTGCATCGGTGTACTTTTCAATATTTTTTTCTCCTTTTGCAGATAATTTTTTATTTTTATTTTTATTTTTGGCTAAAAAGGGGAAAAAATAAATGTGTAGCTATTTTATTTTTCTAAATCAAAAATTCATTTATCTATTAACACAAAATTAAAGTAGAGGGGGCGCTCGGATAGCTGCTTGGGCCAAGCATCTAGTATTAATTATGTACATTCAATTAAATCAAATTGATATTTTAATAACAGTTTATATGGTATATATTAACTATTAGATCAAATCGATATTAAATCAGCATTACATATATATATATATATATTAGTTTAAAGTACTAAATCGAAAAGACTGGTCATGGAAATCAAATCAACTTTGTTTTAAAAACTTGAGAACACCGCCTTTTACTTACTACTAGTACTTATCCGCGCGAAAAGCTTATGTGACACGCTAAACCGCCACTCGGCACTAATTACAAAAAACCGATTTCAACTCATAATTATTTCCACCCGCTTCATTTTCCCCCCAAATCCCCCAGAAAAAAAAAAAAAAAACCTGGTACCGGAACTTGGTCGGAGGAGATTACCATGGCAACTGACGGTGTATTTTTTTACCAGTCTCCCGCAAAATTGCTTTCATCGTCTCTTTAATTTATGCGGATGTATTTTTTTTATTTATTTTTTAATTCAGAAGAAGAACGCATGGAAGAATTTTTTTGGGGGGCTGCTTCAGGGGATCTCATGCTACTGAAGACTATGAAAAGATTCTACTACCTTTTTTTTTTAATTGAATAATTTGCAGTAGGGTTAATTTGGTGGAGAACGATGCTCAATACTAGGGCTTGCCAAGAACCTGAAAAACGTTCCAGAGTTTAAGAGCTCTTCCGGCCAGACGCCGCTTCACGTAGCCGCTGCCGGCGGCCACACGGAGATATTCGACCACTTAATCAACAAGTTTGGAGGATTAATAGTAATAATGAAAAGATAAAATGCAGTTTGACGAGTCCAAATTAGCACGGCCCGCGCACGGCCCGCGACTAAGCACGGCCCAAGTTCGATGAAAGGTCCAACCGGCCTTTGAAGCTTCTAGGTCGGTTCTTAATTACTTTTCTACCAAGAAAGTGTTCCATAACCTAGCTCTATAGATATGGATCAACCCTTCACGGTTAAAGGTACGCTTTATGCACCCGATTTATACCCTTACTGCGAATAATTTTACTGACTTAAGTATCGGAGTGTCTACCCTCATAAGACCCCGAGGCCCTCAGGTTTTAGGGTTCGGATTCCGCCATGACCGCCATAGTAACCAACCGGAGACATTGGTACAATTTCATCCATCGTCACAGTTTAACTAATATTTAGTTTTGACCGAAGAATCGATGTTCCTAATCTATATTCACATTTTCCATATAATCCCACCACAGGCTTCACTTAAAATTCTGACATGGCACAAATAGGAAGCAAAGGATTATATGGATTAAAATTTTTTGAGATTAAAATTTGGCTTAACATTAGTATTTTGTTTTGCGGTAAATTTGATGTTTGCGATCTTCAATGGAGACTCTATGAGAGAAGAGCTAGATGAGTCATGCGTTCAGAGAAGTGAATTTTATAGCGGAGTGTCACCCTTCCTTGGCAGCAACAGCTTAATTTATTGAGTCTCCATGGTCGTTGGTGTTGCACACAAAAAAAACTATAGCGGTTTGAGTTCTAGGCTATCGCCTCCTCGTCATGTCATAGCATTAGCAAAGATCAAGGGTATACAAGACAAGGAAATTTGCTCAGATATTATAGAGATATACTAATAATGTAAGTAATTTAGATGTTATATATTACCCTCTTCTCCCTCAATATAGAGTAGGTATGTATTTTCTTCCTTTTTTTTTTTTTGAAAAGGTGTATTTTCTTTTTTTATTATTCAATAAATTGAGGTGCAACCAATTTTCTTGTCTTGTTTATTTGCTTCATATAAACCGATAATTTGTTGAATTGAACTTTTATTCATTTCTGTTTCCAGGGCCAGGTCTTTTATAGAATGAGTATTTTCTTTTTCTTTTTTTTTTTTTGAAAAGAGAATGAGTATAGGTGTTCTAATGGAGATGATGAAAGTGGCAGGACTCTCTTGCTATGCCACAAATAGCGGGAATTGAGGGCGGAAAAAAGGCCATCGTTGTACGTATGACCACTCTTCACTGTGTTCGAACTCTACAGTTCAGTTCTATACATATAATTATACCATATTGCATCACTCTTTTGCTAACTTTTCTACCTTCTCTGGCAAAAGAAACCCAAGAAAAACGTAAATAATTGTATCCAAATAAATAAAAAATAAAAAAAAATTGTTCTGTACATTGTGATCTATTCAAAGGATCAATCAACTGGACAATTAAGGGTATGTTTGTTTCGTTTTTTTAGCGTGTGTTTTTAGGTATTTTTTGTATTGAAATTGTAAAAAAATATATTAAAAATATAAAATGGTATGTTGGGATGTGACATTTATTATTTTAGTATTATGAAAAAACCATCCAAAAACAAAACAAACAAAGCCTAGGTCAAATTAACTTTTCACTACAATACTACATAAATCCGAACAATACAAGTGTCACAACTGTTCTACAATTCGTTCAAGTTAATACCATGAAAACTACGGACACAGTCAATCTAAGGGGGAAAAGACTATGAGAGCAAAACTGAGAAATCTGAATTTAGAATTTACTATTTCAGTACGTCGATTAATTTATACAACATTCGTAAGTTTTCTTGGTAAGCTGTACTGCACATTGGCGTTTACTTGGCTGCCTTTCTTGATCAGGCTCGAGATTTTCAGTTGTCTAGTAAAATCTTTTTTAAAAAAAAAAGAAAAAAAACTTTTTCAATTGCAGACCTTTGTATACTTTCCAGTTCCTCTTTTTTAGCAAACACTGTTTTGCTTGGTTTTTTTTTTCTTTTTAAATGTCATTAACAAGTGGCAACATCATAGGCTGCACCCATGGTTTTATTGATCGCCCTCGGACACCCTATATCTTGTGGGGATGTAAACAATCAATACAGAAAAAAAGAAAAAAAAAAGAAAAGAAAAGAAAAACACGAAATAATTCTAAGTGCATATCCCATTATTAAAAATTAACGACGTACAAAAGTGGCTAGTAGTGGAATTAAGCGATGCGGTTAAGCAAACTAAATATATTTGCCTCTGAAATAAGGATTGCAATTCTTTAAAAATTAAATTGATTAACCAGCTTGTCTACCTTCTATATTTTTTTCCCCTTTCACATGGTAATGATAAGCGACTATAATGTAAAATAAAAAATAACCAAAAAAAATAGAAAAATGAATCAATTACCCTTATCGGCAAGTTTACCTGGCCGGACTGTTAATTAATATCATCAAGAACACAAGTAGTATACAATTGCAAGGGAATTAACTGATTATTGTGTTAGTGAACAAAAGCTACTCCATGCCCAATACGGAAGTATGCGTCGGTCAACCATATCCGAGCGGCTCACCGTGAATTGATCAAGGAATCAGATGTTCTCCGTCCTGTAATTATTGTCCAGTTTGAATTTTCATTTCTAGTTCAAACTGTACAATTAATTTGGGATAGAGGGAATATGTAGCTTCGGTACTTAATTACTTGATAACCCTCAAAGTTTGTATGTTAGTTTAGGATTATTCACTTTCTTTGTTCAATGGATGTACTTTTCTGTTTATATTTGTTCGTTTTATTGTTCCATTATGTTGTCCCAAGCAGTGTTACTTTATTGACGTTTTTTTTTTCAGTAATAGGAACAAAAGAAAAGTGCACAATTCAATAAGATGATCAGACCAACGGATTTTATTCATTACAAGTTACTATAACCCATCATCATCATCTTATCAATCAATAATGACAATGAGTTTTAGTCTTATTACATTCCATCATAAATCAATTAATAAGTATTGTTATCAAGTAATTAAAAAAAATTAATTAAGGGCACTTGGGGCCGCCTTCTTTGTTCTTCCAGTTATCATAACAGGCACAACACTCCTTATTGCCGAAAGTACCAGGTGGGACACACAAACATGTGTTACAACACTTGTTGCATCCGTCCAAACAATTTCCCTTGTGGGATGTTGCTGAGCATCGACGATCACATTCGGCACCACATCCTGCATTAATATAAAAACCACCCTAATTAATTAGTTTGTTGATTTTACTATTAATTTGTTTTAAGAGTTAGTCAATCAAACCCAATTGATTAATGTATAATACAATACTTACGATCAGCGGACACTGGACATGTGTTAACCCCTGAAGGAGTGTCTGTTGGATACCAACGCCTTTGTTGCAAAGATCTCTCAGCAGCAACCTAACAAAATAACGAGGAAATATCTCAAATGTTAGTTAACGTACGTATGGTATGAATTGTTCCCTCCGTCTCAAGCAAAGAATCAGGTTTATTGTATTCTTTTTGAAGATGGAGGGAGAATGTGTATCAATGGCTAGTTTAATAGAGATTGGTCCATATGATAATAGTAGTTGTATAAAATAGAGAGAAACCTGGAAGATTGGCTTGGAACATGTTATGAACAGGAGAAGGAAGACACAAGGCAGGAATGTAAGTTGGGCCATTTCAAACTAGGATTTGGCAATGGAATTGATCTATTTTTCTCGAGGCTTCCACTGTTTAATTGGTACGGGAAATAACTTGATGGGGACACATTGTAATGTGATTTGCCCATGTATTTATACTAGAAGATTTAATTATTGCTCATTCATATGGTGCCAATTTCGATAATTTGTAGTTAATGTTAATGAAAATCAAATGATTAAAGTAGATGGCCAATGTGATTAAACTTAACTAGGTAGCCAAAGTAATGCAACTCCCATGATTAAAATTGAGGAGACAAATAATTGAAGTCACCATTATACATGAGGCAAATCTAATTTGTCATATTATACATGGATGAAAAGAGTATATATACTATGTTAATGATTTTTTGGTTAAAGCATGTGACAAAATCTTGATGAAATGATTATTATTATTATTATTATTATTTTAAAAAGTAATGTGTAGTATCAGTAGGCAAAGGCCACACCAATATAGCTAAATTAACAAGTAGTTCACTCTTTTTTTTTTCTTTTTTTTTTTGGGTACAAACTACTAGAAGATAGAACCTTCTTAGGGTAGTAGGAGACTTTTAACCAAAAAAAAAAAAAAAAACCATGTGCATTTCAACATTCACTATTAAAATGTATTAAATTCGTGGTCAAGTTGTAGTGTACAATCACCAAAAAGGAATGAGAATATAACCTATATGTTGAAGAAGAAAATTTAGTTATCAAGAAGTATAAAGAGCAAAAAGTGACCCAACATGAGAGATAACAAAATGGAATATAATGAGATGAGGAACAAGTGTACTCACACCCATGTATAACTGCAAATACAATAATAGTGGTTTACTCCCAAACACAAGCAAACACACATGACATATCTTTTATGAGGTGCGATTTGCAGCCCAAGCTATTTCCAGTGTGAATAAATTCACAGCCAAACTCATCTCCCAGACAAAACCAATAAATGTTGTTGATTTTGAATGTCAATGGATCTTTAGTAAATAACCTAGCTAGGCGGTGCTAGTTTTGGCATTGTAAGAAAAAATAAAATGGTCAAGTTATTGTAGTTTACAACTTTATCAAAACTTTAAATTTACACAAGCTGTTGTGAAAAATTATTCAAAATCTCTAATTACTTGTTTCACAAATCATTCTTGCTAGCAAGATTCACACTCCTTATGTAGTTATCTGTTCTTTACATTTAATCTCTAAAAGAAATGTCATGTACACTTTTAGATTCGTGGGCTAACCTTTCCATTTTTTAGAAAGAAGAGAACTAATGAAATTTATAAAATATGTGTTAAGAATGTAATTATGTCGAGTAGTCAATATAATATTATTTGATCAAATTATAGTTTTTTCCCCTTCGTTTACACATTTTTATTTTTCCAACATAACTTTCCCAAATGTGCTTTGCGTTGAGTTTCATCACTTATTCACTTCCAAAGCTCCAAAGGTATAGTGACAACATTGCAACTTCTAAAAGATGGTGGTGAAAATTTTTGCCCTTTCTAACTAAGCCCCAAGAAGTGTTTAATTTTTATTTCATTGAATTCTATCTACCATTTACTTAAAGATGCAATCATTCGGTACTTGAATTTGGACGAGAATTACTACTTTTCTATATAACATTCCGGCTAGAAAACCTTTAATAGGGTATGAGTCCACTCAAAGTAGCCTAAGGATATAGAAAAAGGGAATTCGTATCTTTGAAGGTGATTCTAATCTTAATAATCATCCTTTTCATTTTTTTTAAAAAATTTATGAATGCCCACTCACAGCTACATGTGATGTGATAAGTTCATGTAGGCATACATGCCAAAATTGTCCTATTTTGGAGCTAAAGATTGTATCTTTTGGCAGTCAAGAAGTACTAGGAGTGACTATACTAGGAGTGAAGAAGTACGGGGCCTAGCTTCTGAGTATGCCGCCGAAGCTGAAATTGAACCATATGTACTCTGGTTGAAGAATCTAATTAAAAGACGGGCTAGAAAAGGTAGCTCTTCAATTGATTAGTGCTTTGCTCCCTCTCTTCCCTCTCTCCATTTTAATCTGTGTTTAATTTTTGTCCTTGTATTATTTATCAGACGTTCTAATCCAGAGAGGCTTAGCTATTGGTGCTTTCATTTCTGGATTCATGGTAGCTGTCCACTATCTGAAATGAGGCCTTTTTTTTTTAATCAAAAGGGAAAGTTGTTTTGCATCGGGGATAACTAACTCATATTACATCATGATAAATCCAATTTACAGCACCTGGTGGTGGCAAATCCAAGTGTTTTAAGTTACTAGATTTGTCGCCCCCAGTTGATGGAAGTCAAGAGCACCAAAGTAATTAACTAACTTAATACTGTAGTAGTAGTAAGTCGAGTCGATCCCATAGAAACTCTAGTTAACCCCAATTTAGTCAAGGAAAAGATAGTAGGGAGAGCAACATGAAAATAAAATACTGGATACGACTCGAGTAAGTGAGAATGTGACTTTCCCGAGTGGACAGATAGAAAGTTAAACAGAAAAAAACCTAGGGTCATTATCCACTCTTCTCTATACAGTTGTGTTAGGTTTTATTTCTCCTTTTGCATGTATGAATTATGTCTGATCAAGCACTTGTATACCTTCCATTCACTCTCGATACCCGAAAGGAGTCCTAGTATAACCAAACTGACTATTCTCCATATATGTCAATTTCCATTACACTAGGGCATTAAGTAATTAAGTCTTATTTGATCACCCATGCCAACCAACTAAGTCTCTTTTTTAGTTGAAACCAAGGGTTGTCATCCCCATCATGATGGACTAGTTTAAGTACATTTAAACTATGTTTTACCATAGTATGCATGCACAATTAGTTAAGTGATCAAATTAACTAAAAGATTGATTCAAATACTTAAACCGGAAACAATAAATCATATAGGAGCATTACCAAAACATACTTGTATAAATAAGATGGAGACCCTAGAGAAGAGTTTAGCTACCTATACTTATAGATAAAAATAACAAATGATGCATTACAGAGTATTTAGCATTAATACAAAGCAAGGAAACAACTAAAAGAAGGAGAAAGAAATCACGAAATTACTGCTGTCTTCGGGTGACTTCCTCAAGTCATCTTCTGACTTCGCCGAGTGGTGCAGAATCTACTCCTCCTACCTTCCCCTATTCACTCCTTTTTGTATTGTATTTAATTCTCTTCCTTATTGTCCTCTCTCTCCTCCTTTCCTCGCTGTTGATCTTCGTGTTATATAGAACTTAGGGGAAGAAATTTTTTACTATTTTAGTCTCCATTAAATCAAGGAGTCAAGTTGTCACTTTTGGGATTATCATTTGACTACTTTTTCCAAAGCCCATATCTCCATGTTTTCTTGTCTTTTATCCACCTTTTTAGGGTTGCTTTTTCCTCCCTAAAATCAGCAACTTCAAATCAGACTTCTTACTTAATTAGCCTCTAAGCTTTCGTAAAACTTCCAAAATCTGATTCTTGAGCCTCCATTCATGTAACTCCTATTTTGGTTCACGTCCCATCAGCAACAGTAACAGTAGCCACTCTAGGTGTGACATTGTGGCTTCCTCAAGTGACAGCTATCCTCCAAAACCTTGCCCTTTTCGACCATTTCAGCTTATATTTTGCTGAATTGCACATAGGAGTAGCTTTATCATCCAAATACAGAAAACATAAGCAGAACTAAACAAACCCTAACTAATAAGACTTATTTATAAGTTGATGCTAAATATACTTGCTAAAATATTTAGATTTGACACTCATCACCAGTGATGCCAAAAAGTCTGGAAATTACATTCTCTATGGGTTTGTTCTTGCTTCACCACCCACTTTGTAGATAAAACGGATCTCAACAGGCCTTTATGTGAGCAAAGTGACCTGTTCTCATCAATAACCATCCGGACGACATCTGGTTGTCTATTTATCTTCCACCTTCCGATAGCCCATATCCCATGCCAAGCACAAACCTTAATACAATCCCCAAAGTTGGCTCTCCGGACTGAACAAAGGCCTATGTTCATCAAAAACCCCCCACGCCATCTCCCATGACAATCCTTTATTCACCCCCCCCCCTCCCGGCGCTGATGCTATTCCATCTTCAGCATTAACTGCCCCATCCGAGTTGATCTTTACCCAATCATTGGTCGGTAGCCTCCAACGCAACAATCAGATTTCTTGAGTCAGCTCACTGGCTCCCACCAACTTACCTGCACCACCGCATCTTTGACTTCTCTAACTTTCTTATAGATCTGAAAGGAGGTTCTTGAAATAACTAAGAACTACATACAACTACTATGCAGAGGATGACTTAGAGAATTAGATTATCACTTACTTTTAGGCTTTAACCTCTTACTAAGGACCACTGATACCTCAATATTATACTCCCTCTCTGTCCCAAAATTATTGTCCATTTTAGATCTTCACTTTTAGTTTGATTTGTGCTAAAGATGAAAATCTAAACTGGACAATAATTTTGGGACGAAAGGAGTATGTAATTGTGGCTTATTCTGAGTGGTTCGGTTACTCGGAACTATGAGGCATTTTGAAGCGATTCTGGATTTGACTTTAATTCTACTGCAATGGTTGTCTTTGATTAAAATATTGTATTTGATAGTGTTAACCCTTTCTTTGATTTAACTATATGCGTAAGCATCTTCAAAGTGAGCTGAAAGCTGCATCATTTTAGCTTCTTCAGTGAATTGCAGAACGTTCACTTGTGGTTTATAACCATATAGTTTGTCCCCAAAAGTTCAAGAATACTACATGCTAGCATCACTTGTTCAGATTATAAACCTTAAAATATGGATAGTCCATTGATCTGAGTGCCCTGCACTGATATCAACCTTTCATTTTTCTGGCTCCCCTTACCATTTCATTGTGGAGGATTCACAAAGGTGATGATTGATAAATTTGCAGGACAAAAATATTAAGCACGACATATATACCTCATTATCAAGTCAATTTCTTTTTTTTTTTTTTGTATTGATCAACCAACGACATGAACAAATATAGTCCATAAATATAATATACTTTTCTTTTCTTTTTTTTATTTTCCTTTCGAATTCGAAATGTATTAAACAGTAAGGTTAAAAATTGAAACTGAAAGGAGTAATACGTACTTATTGG